AAGAATTTAAAACATCATTGACCACCCATTTGTTTTTATACTTTGAATTTCGGAGAAATGCCGTTACAGAATTATAGCCGGCTGGTGATTTTGGAGAGAAATATGTTTTTATAATTTGTTTCCTGGTTTCTTCCATTTGAATTTGTCACTAAAAGATACCCAATTCTTGCACGATTGAGAATTTAATGCTCTTCCTGATCCAACGGTCTCTGTGTGGTCATATTTTATTGAATTTCCAAAAACTTGAGAACTAATGTTATTTATTGGACGAACATCTCTCAGGTTTCGATATATTATTAAATGCGTAAGATTTAGAATTACAGATTTGAAATTGTTTGGAGTGTAGTTTTGGATCAAAATGGTCGTGCAACAATTTAAGTGGTGAGCTTTGACCGTGACAAAATGCCTGATAAACAAATTAGTTTTCCTATCTTCTTCCATAGAAGTTAAAAAATCATCATATATAACCCAATTTCTTTTCTTTGGATCCAGTTTGCTTTCTACTTTGTAAATATCATTACATAATTCCAGCATTGGAACCTCACGAGAAATGTCAGTCAACTTTTGTTGAGGTTGATTGTATACGTATAAAATTTTATCAAACCGTTGATCAAATAATTTATCACGGTTACGGATCCAACTTATGACTCGTTCGGTCTTACCACTTCCGGTTTTCCCACAGATTAATATAATAAATGGCCAGGGTAACTCCAAGCTAACTTTTGTAAAATCTTGCATTGTTTTTCAGAAGTTGAGCTTTGAAAGGGTAACCACTTATTACTGTGACCTCGACAGACTTTAGCCGCGTAATGGATCGTAAACGTTAATTTCCTTACTAATAAAGCTTTGCTTGTTCACAAATTATTACATAATCGGAGTCATCGATTGAAGGGGGTTCTCAGTAGTAGATATTCTTGCATCCCCAAATGCGTAGGTGTCTATCATATTTGGCAAAAGGTATCGACGCGGGTTTAATGAATGAAACTTGTACTCGCGACTGACAACGCTAAGGTTATGGTTTTTTGATTCGACTGCATATGATTGAAGAGTTAAGGCGCCCTCCCTGACTAGTGCATCTTCGTACATTTGATGATCAAGTTTATTTATAATTGTTGAACGTGGTATCCCACTAGCTTTCTTCACCAAATTGCATTTACATCGCGGATCAAACACTGCTGAGCAAAAGGCACACCTTCCCAACCGAATTGAATAACATTTAACTCGAAGCGAAATCACACTAATAGCATCCAGTGTCACAATTTTCCATTTTCCTCCTACGGATGCATTACGATCACTGTACAGAGGATGCCAGTTTGGCAGTGATGATAAATCCAAGTGTTCTTCCATTCTACTTAATATTTTGTAAAATTGATTTTTTGGGTCCATAATGTGAACACAAAAGCCAATCCGTGTCGTAGAATGATAATTTAGTATTTTCAATTCCAAATTCAGATCTGATCAAATCCCATATTTTATAAAGACTTAGTTTCGCACGGTCCAGAGTCAAATGAATTGACATAATCATTGGGTATTTGTACATTGCCGTATTACGTTTCATTCTGAAAAGACATACCCCCTCCAGTCCGTTCAAAATTGTAAAGTCTTCAAATGTGTGTTTAGACAATAGTTTAATCATGTCTCCTGATGTAACACACACCTCAAAATCCACATAATCTTCAGCTGAGGACAGGCAAACGCCAAAAACTCTATTGATTATTCCTTTAAATAATAGGCTCCCAATTTCATCCCCCTCGAGAACAGCTTTTTTCGGAGTTCAGATAACTTGTCCACAAATGGCTCCAGAATAGCAGCTTGTCGGAATTTTAAACACTTGCTGAGATTTGTAACCCTTAATCCAGATTCGAGAAAGTATTGGACTGCTTCCAAGCAGCAAGTGTAAGTTTTATCATACAGGTCGGCAACTAATTTTTTCCCAAATAATGATGCCTGATCTTCGCCGTTTAAACCAGTAGAATACAGTTGCTGAGTCGTGGATAAATCGGCATATTTGAGTTCTCTTTGGTAAGGGCAAGGAGGCATTGGACTCTGGAGTACGTGGAGATATTCTGGATGGGAAATTTGCACCGTCACTATATAGTTCCACTCGCCATTACAATCAGTCATTAAATCAAATTTTGATAAATCATCTGGTGAAAGAAAAGAATAAGAGCGAACAGCTACTTTGCTTTTCATTTTTGAGGGGTACTGAGAATTTTCGTCAATAATTAAAATATTACTCCTTGGCTTGAAGGGATTAAAATTGTTTAAGCGTTCACTATTGGCTATGACTTTTCGCGTGACCGATTCGGTTGGTCCACCCCGTATTGCATTGTTTTTTAAATAAGTTATTATTTCTGGGTCCTTGATATATTGATATGATGCCTTTGTGTCAAAAAAGCAACCATCGAATGAGTAGCCACTTAAGGAGTAACTATGAAATACCTACAGCTTGAAATGTTTCATTGCCATTTTGTTGAAGTCAAGAAATATATCAGCCGTTAAAAGTACCTGTGTTTTGAGTCCGTAGTTAAGTAGCTCCGTCGCATCTTTCATTTTAAAATTCCAAAAAACTGCCCCAGCCATTTGATACTCGCTTTCGGGTGGGCATTCATTAGTCACCGGGTTTTTAAATAGGTCATATTTTGGAAACCCATCATGAACTTGTTTATTAATAGCTATTGATGGCATTGCTATTCGAAATAAAGCTGTGGAGTTCTCTTAATTTTCTTTGCAAGTTTTGCATAATTGGAATTTTTATAATAACCGATTGGAAGGAGTGAATGTATTGTTTGTCCGCCAATCTCGGATGATATTTTGCCAAACGCTGAGCAGAATAAGGGGGTGATATTATGATTTCTGAATATTTTGCCTATGCTTTTGATTGTCTCAGTTTTTCCACTGCCACTTAATCCTGTAAGGTATGTCCTAATTAAAACATTATTTGACAGTGATACATCAATATATTTTAAAACTTGTTGTTGCTCCTCATTCGGAGTAAAATCGGGATGAACTTTTTCAAATACAAATTGCTCGGATTGCTTATTCTTAAAAAATTGCTGGAGCTGAGAAATTGAATATTGCTGTAGGATTTCAGAGGGACAAATTGTATGACGCAACAAACTGGCCATGATTGCACTTTCACTTTTTATCGAGTCACTTTATATTGGGCCAATGCGTACGAAAATAATGCAGTGTAGTGTATCACACTCAACTAGATTTGTATGTGCATGTTTTGTTTCTAATTCTTATCTAAAAGTAGCAAGTCTGATTATATAAACCACAATGGGAACTGCGGAACAGAATAGCATAAAAATAGCATCTTTTCTTACGTAAACCACACCCAAATAAATTTGTCTGGGAATGTGACGTTGTTCATGTATAAAAATACTATCACGTCTGCTTACGTGAATCACACCCAAATTAATTTGTCTGGAATGTGACGTTTTTCATGTATAAAAACTCTATCACCCATGCTTACATAAACCACACCCAAATAAATTTGTCTGAGGATGTGAGCAGAGAAAGATTTGAATCTAAAAATAACATTCGCAAACTTGGTTTAACATAAATAATTTAAAGGGGTGTGTCCAGTGTATAAAATCCAGGAAAACTGGATATATAAGGCGAGAATTGGCATTCAGTGCAATGATAAAAAAGAATAAAGGGCAACCAATTTTGAAGCAGGAGATCGACCTTACACAATATTTGAAAAATAAAATTGTAAATTTTAAAAGCAAAATGCAAGATTCTCAAGCTTTTAGTGAAGTGGAGAATAGTGAAGAAATTCCTGAGCAGAATCCTGAGGAAGAGGAAAGTGAAGTTACACATTCTCCAGGAGTAATTGATAAAAAGTTGGCAAGAAAACAGCTCAAACGAAGAGTAATTATTTCATCCGATGAGAGTACGGATGAAGAGGAGGTAGTTACAAAGCGTATCACTTTTAACGATATTGCAAAATCTGTAAAGAAACAGCGCACGAGTGAGCAGAAGAAAAAATCCTATATTTCATCTGAATACGATGAAGATTACAGAACATTATCGTTCTATGTCAATGCAAAGATTATTGGAGATATAAAAGTGAGACCATATTTTAATAAATTTAATTATATATGGTACGTGCATTTCTGCAAAGACAATGATAATAATATGAATCCCGAAATAACCCCGACATTTATGAAAGTCAGTGGAATGGAATTGCCTCATTTAATTAAAATTATTCAAAGGCAGTATGACGAATTTAAATCGCTGAAACAGACAGAAATCCCTCTAAAGTTAAAAAAATCTCCTTTTGGCAAAATTACAGACTATCGCCAACCCGAGTTTTGGGATAAATCTCATACGGACTATATCCCCTCCGGCTATATTGGTATAAGACAATTTATTACATTAGAAGGAGTAAGAAGTTTACGGTTGATTATGCCAAAACAAAATCAATCGTCTGCTGGATGTGGACGGAGTTTAACTCTGAGATGCGGATTGTGCAAGGAATTTTTAGCAACACTGAAAGAATATCAAGTCTATTTTGACACGAAGCCAAATGGTGAAGAAAGCGATTAAGGAATTTAAGAAACGTAGTTGATATTTTTATTAAATAGATATTTATTAGTCTGACATATAAAGTAGTTATACACTCACATTTGTGTATGGATTTGTTTATACTTGATGAGATCTAAATTAACTTTAATTTAAATGTAAAATTGTAAGAGAATAAACTTGTGTACGCATATACACATTACATGTTTTTCATTGACTATCCTTGTAAACTTTAGCAATTTAAATATTTAGCAATTCGGTTACGTATTTTTATTAAAAAGTAATTTATTAGTCTGGATTTTAGGTAATACTTGCTAATGTTATAAATATAGTTATCTATTTGTTAGCAGTTAGTAGGAAACCGAAATTTAAATAAAAAAAATTGTAAATGCTTTTTGGGCATGTATGTATCTGTTCCTTACTTTCATTGCATTGCTAAGTTGATAAAAGGCTCCACAAATATAATGTCATCGCCAGTCGCAATTCAGATCACTTTCAATTTGATCAGAATAAGTTCATTGTGTTCAAATAACCCATCAAATCATGTGTCCTTTGGATATGGGAACAGAATCAGTTGAAGTGGTAAGCAAATTTCTGTGATATATATTATTATTTCCCCGAGTCGGAGCTTATGGAACCGTCGTGTCTGTCTGTTGGTCTGTTTAAATTTCAATACAAAGCTCATTGACGCTACAAATGGTTTCTCATGAAAGAATCCCATGTAAAATTGTAAAAATTCTACATCTGGCTCGGGCCATATCTGCAATGTTGGTTTTTAGTCATTAATGTTTAATCATAATTTCCATCCTGGAAAACAGATGGAAGCCGAACGTATCATCATCCCAGTAAATGATCTGGCGATAATGTTGACTAATACAACCGGTCAACATTCCCTCATAGTTTACAATAGGGAGTTACATCAGGTGCGACTAGAGAAGATTGAGGATGCACCACCCCCACCGCATCAGATTGAGATTATCATGCAGTCTCCGGCAACTGAAGGACAAGCGGTTAATTCTGATGTCCGGGATCCTAACCTTACGACATCTGAAAGGGTACGTGTGTATATTAATTTACATGTATTTTTAATTACATTAACTTCTTAAGGACGAAGTACATACATGTGTGTAGTATTTTATTTTTGTTGAGGACGAAATGCACATATTTGTGTAATAGTTTTATCTACCTGGTGGCGTTGTAAACCCATGTGGGTATCATATTATTTTCAATGAAGGACAAAATACACATATGTATGTACCTCATAAATTATCCTGGCATAAGAATTTCTCAAAAATAAGAGTATTTCTTTTTTAGAAAACTAGATGGTGAAAAGTTGATTTTTATGGATATTTATCTTCACAAATTTCGAGAATTTTCCCTATACCGACCTATGTTAAAACAGTGAATTTTTCGAGTTTTACTCCAAAAAACTCAAAACATGTTGGAATATATATATTCCGCCGTTTATAGGAAATCACGAATATTTTAATTCTTGCTATCACGTGCACTCGCGAAATAGACATGTTACCCATGAGAAATTTTACTAATACATATATCAGTAGTATGAAATAATATGAAACAATAATTTATTTAATAATTTTACAGATGTCTGCCGAAGCAGACATCAAGAATTTCACGTCCGTCGTTGAAGAATTAATATCCAGACTCGACTCTATCGTCGACCCGTCTGGACGCTCCAATGCGGATTCCAATTTTTTTTCGTACTTATAATTACGATTTTGTTGCAAAGCATGCTTATTTTTTTTAGGATACTCTCTTTCTAACAACGTGTGTAAAACAACTGTCTTCAGCGCCGAATGAGATGCTGACGGTTCAGCCTCTGACCTCGTCAGTTGTGTCTGAAGCAATAAAGGAGGCACAGGAAGCCGCAGTCCAAGCAGCAGTCCAAGCATCCCCCCCCCCACAAACGCCCCCGCCAGTAAACGAACGAAAAATAAAAAAAGTAGTAATTTAGTAGTGATTTTATCGAAATGAGTCATTTGTAGAGTTCATATATACATGTAGAATTTAGTAGTGATTTTAGTAGTGATTTCTAATCATTTTAAGTTGATGATTGAAAATAAAAACAAATGATTTGATGGAAATGAGCAAATAAAAAAATAAATCGAAAAAATTTCATGCATTTATTGTAATAAAATTATCATAATTATTTATTGCTAGAACTTCCTCTAAATCCAACACTCTGCAAATGCATTTGCTTAATTAACTTGTTGCATATATTTAAATGTTTTTGGCATAAAATATTGGCTTTCCGCTGAGTAACGAATCACATAATACATAATCAAATTTCCTCGATATGATATTATTAATAGTAGAAAGATCTCGATCATGAAAGAAATTATTCTTCTTAAGTAATTTAGTAATTCTGCATGCATATAATCCAATTTTGTCATAGGTGCTCCACATTTTCCGTTTTCTTGCTGCTACAACTGGAAAAGTCTAAGAAGTGACACAATAAGAATTGCATACGAATTTGTTCTCGTGGCTTTAGACGGTATTGGGATTGGTTGCATATAAACACTAATAAATACCGAAATCGTTAAATTGGTAGTTGTCGGGACGGAAGAGTTGAAACTTCCACTATGGTTGGAACCATTATTCCAATTCGCAGTATTATTGGTTTCTATAAATAAAATTTTAATAAACTTTACGTGTTATTTTTTTAACTATGGTTGGTTTTAACTATGAATTAGCTCAGAGAAATGCGTAGTTGATTCCACCATTGGTAGGATTGTAGTCTCGATTGCCAGTTTTTCTGTGATGGTTTTATTTATGAATGAAAAACCGAGATTACGTAACAAAAAAAATGTGTACAATACCGGCGACAGCAGTGTTTATTATTGTCTCCGTTGTGGTCTCTGAATTGTCTTGCTCGTGATCAACACTTGGTTGTGTGGGATGTAAGGTTTCCGGCAAATAAAAATTGGTCGTCACTATTTTGGTCGTTGGCAAAGTCGTGAAAGTAGGTAATGTTGAAGTATACAATTGATTTTCAGTTGTGGTGGAGGTTGAAACCCGCCCTAAAAATGTCAAAATGTTAAAATAATGGAATAAATTGCGAAAAATGGCAGTGCATACCTGTTAAAACATTGTGCATTATCTCTTCTTTAACAATGATATTGTTTCCACTTTTAGAATGGTTATCAAATGCACTCGTCTGGGTGGTTGCTAAAAATTAAAAAACAACTTATTTATTCAGTAAAGAAACACTTTGTTCTCAGTATAAAGTGAAAACATGAAAATGAACGTACCAAACCTGTAAATTCTTTTACATGCAGTCGGATTTCGAAAGGTTGCCAAAATTCCAACCGGAATCTCGTCACGATGAAAACATTTCCGAGCACTTGAACTTGTTACTCCGTAAACGCAACCCACAATTTGAATGCATTGCACACAACTATCATGACGATAACATTCCGCATACGAATTTACGGTCTGCAGCACAACACAAATTAATATAAGCAAATTCATTGTCACTTTGTGTGTATCAATAAAACTAAGCAATAATCAATTCATTGTATGTGGAATAATAAATATCTTAAAGTAAATTTCTTTAGAATAAAACTGGGCGTAATTCGCTTGGAATGTCAAATGAAGTTGGCCAGCTTTTGCAAGCCATGTACATTTAATTAAGCTATTAAACTGTGAAACTTAACATTATTATGCACATTTCATCATTGTAGTTAAATATCAATGTGTGGTTTTTTCATCTTGACATACATACTCACCATGTAACGCTCATATTATAATAAATACGCTTGACAGGTCAAAGGTCACGGCGCCGCGGTCACTGCGCTGGGGTTATCGGTAACCCTTGGGGGGGTCAGCCCCCAGCATCGCAAAACTCCATGCAAAAAAAGTTTGCATGCAAAAAATGCATGCATAAAATTTGCATGCTAAAAGTTGCATGCATTCGCTATAAAATCTATAAATAGAAAATGAGCGAGGGTTGCATTAATGTCCTTACTCCGAACAGTCCACTGATTATCAGTTACATATTGGGCTACACGGATGGTCTCGAACATATCGAAGCGTTCAAGGAAAGAACGACTTTATCTTCCCGTCCAAGGCTTACAATCGTATTTACTTACCTCAGTCTGAAACGGCACACTTCAGGAATGCTTATGAACTTATATTTCTTACGCCATTTTGGACTTTTCTTAACTCCAGAATGGATTTTGGGTCCAAAATCCACGAAATGCTAAAATTTTTCGCGGTTACCATAACATCGAAAGTACTTCAAAATTAGTGCTTTGGACCACAGAACGACGTAATATTCTCTATATTCCTTGCATAATTTGTGGATCAACGACTCCAATAGAAATTTCCGCTACGGCAAATATACCGTCTCTGCACCATATTTGGGATTTCACAAATAGCATCATGCAATCCACAATATTTTCCGGTTCTTGGTACGATGGCGATAAAAAGCCGGGAGGGTTTGAAAACTCGGCATCAGCTTCGTATCGATTAAACGTCGCCACGTTTCAAGGAAGTGTTCTCTGTGCGAGTTTTGCCATTCTTGAAAAATACAACTTAACGGGCCGAAATGAGCTTTATGATTCGATTAAAAGCCATGAGGTGGTCCTAACGAAAATATATTACGATTGTACACTTTCACCCGAACTTACGGAACAATGCTTACGGAAAGGGTATCTAATTTATAAAATGAAGTTTGAGTTCTTCAATTTTGTCTTTTTTACCGATATTCCCAAACCGATGAGCGCATTTACGGCGTACTTCACTCCGTTCGAGGGTATCACTTGGATTCTGATAGTATCTTGTTGCACGGTTATAACAGGTTTTCTAACAATTGGTGCATATGAGAAAAAGGGTTTACAAAAAACTATTGGGTTTAATCTGTTCCTGGTTACGTGTCTTCTTTTAAATCAAACGGAGGGAGGTATTCATCGAATAATTGGTCGAAACAGGGTCAAAATCCCTGTCCTGTTGGCCTGGTTATTTGGTTGTTTCATCCTAATGTCAAACATTTATGGGGGAGAGATCTATTCCTCCCTCACAGTTCCGGGTTTGCCAAAACTTCCGGAAACTTTACTTGGAGCCATCGCATCAGGCATGACCGTATGGACATGCGCAGATTACACGGAAACTGGTAGTGCAAGCATTAGTCGTTCGGTCTTGTTGGATCAAATCATTCCAGAAGTAGTTTCTAGTAACTACAGTTCTCCATTGATTTAAAGATTAGGGGAAAAAGCGACCTTTGTAAACCTTCAAAATTTTCGGGATAACCTGGCCAAATACGTATCGGAATCTGAACCAATCCCGGTTAACAACTTCTCAGAAAGTTTATCCACATCAGAAACAAACGTTTTGTTAGGTCGTTCCGATACGGTGGAGCAAGTCGGAGAAATTGTGAAACTTTTTGGTAAACGGTATGTATCCAGGATCCGGAGAGACACCCCGTTCGTACTCATGCTCCTGGCAATCGGGCGCAGCAACTTTTTCACGCCAAAACTCCACCTCGCAATGAAACACCTCGAAGAAACTGGACTTTATGGGAAATGGATTAACTTGGAAAGCGAAATATCGCTTTTGTACAACACGCGTACAATTCAGTACAAAATGTATGAAAAGCTGCGGGCAAAGCTAATTGGAAGTGAGGATAGGAGAATTACGCTAGAAGAGTCGCCCAGTTCCATTACAGTCAGTAAAGTATGTCCTAAATATTTCTCTTCTTGTGTCTTGTAGGATTTGGGTGGGTTAGTTTTATTGGGGAATGGATTAAGTCATGTGATATGAAAATGCGGGTTTCCCGTGTGTTTAAGATGTGAATGGTTAGAAACATGTATATAAATATGATGCATAATATGTGAGGAAATTGAGACAAGGCATGTAAAAGAAAATTGCACGAGCCAACTTGTATGAAATGCATAAGTATTGTTACGTATGGTTTATGATGGATGGGACGAAGAGATATGAGAAACTTGATCATCTCACTGTTACAGTGAATGCAGCGGTCTCAAACTCTCATTCGCTCTAACTCACCAAAGCATGCAATGTAAATACATACATCAACTGTGTTTAATATTTGGATTATACGGAGTTTAGTGGAAAAGTCGAAGAAAAAGTTTTGTTTTATTTTGTCAATATTTCGAATGCAATCTGCCATTCATTATCAAGACATTTTACAAGATGGGAAATTTGTTTTTTGTTTTTTTCAACAGTGTTAATGAAAAAGCGAAGGGAAAGATGTATGCATATTAGTTTTGAAAAGGTAAATTCTCGGAAGGAACAAATAACTGCAACGCTGGTCACGTAGGTCGCGTTTCTTTCGCGTCCGACCTTACATACAGAAATGATCACGGTCCACCCTTACCATAGGTCCAAAAGTCTACTTGCTAAAGTAAATTCTGTTATGCACAAGCGAGTTTTAATTTATCTAACGTTACCCCAAATTAGAACCAACAGAGATAATAAATACACACGTATCAATTTGCTACAAAATTAAGAATGACTATGTATGAAATACATAGAAAGTTACCCCTAATAGTAATAAATATTACAGCCACTACTGCATTCATCACAGGGAGAATTAGTGAAAGTCTGGTTAAACGATTACGATCCGGAGAACGTTGTATTTTTAGATTTTAACTTTAATTAAATAGTTGGATAAATACTTATTGCAATAACTGTTATACAAAAGTTTGTTGAATTATTTAATGACATTATTAAATTATTAAATTATCAAACTTTCCGCACTTACTAACCCGATAATTTTAATTGTGCATTATTTATTTATCTTCCATAAAAAAGTTGTACAGCCAGGCCACATTTGCGAACCCGGCTGGTTTTTCTATGGCACAGGGCTCTCCTCCGAACGAAACTGCACCAGCGAGGCATCTGAAAGATCCACTCCCACAAACCAGTGGTCCCCCGGAATCTCCGTTACCTGATGAAATTTTGCGATATCATTAGGGAAATTATCATTACTACATTTTTCTGCAGCAAAGTATGCTGCTAAAAATCTGGTACAGTCGCAGAAATACATACTCCGTACTAGTATTGATTTGGTAATAATTTACTACCAGATTGGTACTAAAGTGTTCTTGAGTGGTAAATTTTTCATTACCACAACATTACTGAACGGTAATTCCTGTTCCGGTAGAGTCACATACATATGTCTTCCGGTCGGAAACGAATGCACGATTTCGTCATTTTACATAAATGAATGATTATGAATGAAGAATTTGTCAGTCCCCTCATTGTCACCTTGTGCTTAATACATGGGCCGAAGTAAGAAATGAAATGAAATGAGTTGATAGAAAAGGACTGAATGTGAATGAAAATCCTCAATACAAAAATCCGATTGACTAAATTTTTTGAACAGGTATGTCTATATCAATATACTTACAAATATCTCTCCCAAGAATTCCTCCCGCACAGATAATGTCTTGTGTCACAGGACCCCATGATGTAGCACAAACGGGGCGGGAAACTATGGTCATGCTGAGCTTTTGTGTCATTACTGGGTTCATTTTTGCACGTGTCGCCCCATCCCGTGGCCGTGCATATCGTCCCAACCGAGGGTTCAGCCCGGCATGCTGGAATCGTTCGGAAAAAGTTGTTCAGTTGAAGGGGTTCCGTTAGGTGTAATATGCAAACGTCCGTCGTTACAGTGTCGCTGTGGAGATAGGAGGAGAACTATATTTAAAATCGCGCCAGGTAAAAATTTGTCAAAATATGTATGCGTATCACTATGGGTTTTTGCAGCGTGAGGGGTAAAATGAAGTATAATTACAAGGGCGAATTGTGGTATCAAGTGTAACACCCCGATTTGGTTGAAATTTTAAAAGTATTTAGTCCAAGTCAGGGTAAGGAAAAATGCCGGGTTTTCCCATTGAAAACGCAGACAGAAAGGTTTTGTCCGGGTATTGTAGGTGCTAAAATTTTGTTCAAAAATTGGGGAAACCCGGGAAATCTTATAACAGAACTTTTGCGAGTACTAGGTATAAACCAAACAGGTAGTGTTTGTACCCTCGATTTCGACGGCTTGTGTAATTTTGAAAATTTTACTCTCGAGGTAAAGTTGAACTCACAAAAGTTCTGTTATAAGATTTCCCGGGTAAATTAAGCAGGCAAAACAATTTTTTAGAAAGTGGTACTATTTTTTATTGAAATCACCATGCAATTGTCCGTCAGAAATCATGTTTCTAAAACTTTTGTGACCCAAGGTGCCAAAGTGACAGCGTGTTGCAATTTTTCAAAAAAATTTTAGTAAACAACAAAATTCGTCATTTTTCAATTGCTCAATCAAAATCAGAACTGTTCGCTAGATGGTGGAGCGTTCCATAACATGATCCATGGACACTGGCTGTGTTCATGAGTGAAACAAGAGTTGAAGGCAATGGTCAAAAAGGTCACAAAAAATCATGAAGGTGCAGAAAACCTTAATTCGTCCAAATTCATGCCGGACCCTAAGAAAATTTCCCCCCAAATGAACGGGTTAAGTAAAACAATGTCCCGGGCCCTTCAACTAAACCTTAGACTTATGTCTTCAAGACCTGAGGAGAAACATTTCCTAGCTACACGCCAAGTAAAAACAGACCCATCAGAACCCGGCCGCTGATCATGCGGTAGGCGCTTGTAAAATGGAAATCGATATTTTAAAAAAATGAGCCCACCTTTATGGATGAGGGCAAATAAAATAGAAAAAATACCGTATTTGCACCCCACCGGTCTAGGCTATTCATAAAATTTTCAAAAATTTTGATAGGAACCACCATCCTGCTTTTATGATTTTTTTATTGGACTTAAATTGGATTGGGTCGAAAAA